AGTTGGTAGTGAAGATTGGACACGTCATTTTAGCAATCTCCTATGTGTAGATGATATTACTAGAGATTTCAGTTACGATAATTTGGAGAGTTATGGAGATGTAAATATATTCAGTCTTAATGCTCCTATTACCGTCAGGGAAGTTTTGTTTCATATAGATAAGATTGAATTAAACAAATGGTACTATATATTTAAGGCGACTCTGCCTTTTTAGCCTTAAAGATGGATTATCTTTTGTGGAAGACGAATACCATGTATTATTGGTGTGTAAACAATATGCAACATAAGAAGCACATACATTTTCAAACATATAACATCAGTATCACAGCAGTCTTTTATAAATAAAGATCAGGTAAATGTAGTGTTGTCTATGATATTGGTCAGTTCCTACTTAAGGTGTATAAACTTAGACTGACTGACTGAGTTTAGTTTTACGCCGCTTTTAGCAATATTCCAGCAATATCACGGCAGGGGACACCAGAAATGGGCTTAACACATTGTGCCCATGTGGGGAATCGAACCCGGGTTTTCGGCGTGACGAGACAACGCTTTAACCACTAGGCTACCCCACCGCCCGTATAAACTTAGAATTGCCCTTACATGTGAAATGGGTGTGTGATATGTAAATCCATGTGCATGACAACTCTTGCATGGAATAATTCATGGACTCTACAGTGTATTTATGTGCAGACTGTGAAAGTTATTATATGACCGTATTTTGTGCCAAAGGCCTTGGTACTGGAATCAAATGTCTGTCTGTCTATCAGTTATACTGTGGCTAGACCAACACCCAGTCTCTGAAAATATATAATTTTGATAGAAACAAAAACTTCCATAAAAGTGTGAAAAGGAACCCTACTTAAGTGGGAAATTCTGATTTATGATACTGAAGAAAATATATACTTGCTTCATTGTTTGCTACAGCATTACAGAATTGGCTGTGTGGAAGGTAAAATAATATGGTTCAGGGACTGTGAGATTGAATATAGTGCATTTTTCAGAATAGGTAGCCTTGCTGTGGCTCTACAGAGTTTATTACAATTGAGTAAACCTTAATATACTTAACATCATTGAAAACGCACCAGTCTAAAATTGTCCATATTTCATCAAGATAGATTTCAGCATGACAATGATCAATGAATATAACTAACATGAAGTCGAAGGGCATGTCCAGTTGAAAAAAATGCTCTAGAAACAAATTCTTGTCCACAGTATGACTCTTAATTCCAAAATGCATCAACATGCAGCCACGCTATGAAAAAAGCGTGAATTTCATTCTGAAATCATACTGACTGTGACATTGAAAGCAGGTGTATGAGAACCGATTCTCATTGCTTCACTAACGATTGTGAAACGAGGACAGAGATGCCGAGGTTAACACCTCACGAAGAGAGCGTGCACTAGGCATGATTCAGGTTGGCACCAGCAGCAGGGATATTGCTCGACAACTTGGACTTGGCCACTCCACCATCGTTACGCTTCATAGACGACATCAGTAGACAGGCAGCATCCGTGACCTTCAATGACCTTGGCAACAACATGTTACGATGCTCCATCAGGATCGCCATATTGACCTTGTCTATATCAGTGATTGAACACTGCCGACTGCCAGGACTGCTGCACTAGTTCAAGGTTGACGTGGGGTTCATCAGCGCTGACTCCATGCAACGCCGTCTACACGTTACAGGGCTCCATGTTCGACGTCCTTACGTTGGACCAATTCTGACGTAATGAGAGTATACAATGGGCTAGCAGGCATTTTCAGTAAAGGTTACAACAATGGCATGGTGTGGTAGTCACTGACGAGTCACGTCTTCATCTACGTAATGCTGACGGCCGATTACGTGTTTGGCGTAGACGTGGTGAATGTTATGCTGATGAGTGTGTGGTTCAGACAGACCTTTGGGTGGTAGGAGTGTCATGGTCTGGGGTGGAATAATTACAATCACAGGACTGCCTTCATGTCTGTAAAGGGAGAGTTAATGCCCTTTATTACCGTTAGCAGATTCTTCAGAATCACATTGTATCTGTCTTCAATCACCACCAAGATGTCCATACTTTTCAACAGGACAACGCACGAGCACACACAACAAGACTTTCCATGCAGTATCTGGCCCAGCAACACATCCAGGTTATTCATTGGCCAGCACAGTTGCCAGATGTATCCCCCATGGACTGACTGACTGAGTTTAGTTTTACGCCGCTTTTAGCAATATTCCAGCAATATCACGGCGGGGGACACCAGAAATGGGCTTAACATATTGTGCCCATGTGGGGAATCAAACCCGGATTCTCGGCGTGACGAGACAACGCTTTAACCACTAGGCTACCCCACCGCCCTATCCCCCATGGAGCACTTGTGGGATGAAATTGGTCAAAGTCTTTCGCAGCGACAACAGATGCGAAACACCCGGAAACTTGAGGCTGCACTACTGCAGAAGTGGAATGCCAACCTAAAAAAACTCTATTCGGACGCTTATTGACTCAATGAGAAGACCTTGAACTGCATGTGTCAATGCAAATGGCGGTCACACGCGATATTGACTTTTCAATTTGACCCCACGTGTGTTTGATCCTTTCTCACTGTGGAACATTTCAATGAATGAGCGTCTTTTCTGTGTTGTTGTTTTTGTCAGTCGTCCATCTGTTATTTATCCACTCAAAAAACATCAATTCCTTACCCGTGCTTTTAATAATCTGAACTTTTATAAGTGGTGCGTTTTCAATGATGTTCAGTATATAAGCCTATCTGTAGATGAACTATCTCTACATCTATATATAAACTCCAGTTCAGTATATATGTATGGCTACATAATTCAGTTTTATTTCATCTCAATATATCAGTTGAATGCTACTTATTTTGTGGCTACTATCACAATATACATTCTTTTGAGCATGCATATAACATTGTAATAATTTTATTTCATTTTTGCAAGTGCTCTTCCTAATTACCTCTATTCTGAGCAGTTGGTCATGTAGTCGAAAATATTAATAGTAATGTGATGACGAGTAACCAAATTAATGCAAATTAGTAAGGATGGTTTTATGCTGCTTTGAGCAATATTCCAGCAATTTGCAAGTGTTCAGTATATATGTATGGCTACATAATTCAGTTTTATTTCATCTCAATATATCAGTTGAATGCTACTTATTTTGTGGCTACTATCACAATATATATTCTTTTGAGCATGCATATGACATTGTAATAATTTTATTTAATTCTTTGCAAGTCCTCTTCCTAATTACCTCTATTCTGAGCAGTTGGTCATGTAGTCGAAAATATTAATAGTAATGTGATGACGAGTAACCAAATTAATGCAAATTAGTAAGGATGGTTTTATGCTGCTTTGAGCAATATTCCAGCAATACCGCAGTGGGGACCCCAGAAGTGGGTTTCACACATTATACCCATATGAGGAATCGAACCCTGGTCTTCAGCGTAACAAGTGAACACTTTAGTCATTAGGCTACCCCATCACCCACTCACTGCAGGTTTTGTCCCATGACTGAAAATGCATTATTAAATTTATGTGAGCAGCCCTGAACCCAACCCCACCAATTACTTTTGATAATTATTATTTCCTAATTAACTCAGGGAAAAAGGTATGGAGATTATAAAGATTATTTCTAACATTTGCATTGTTCAAGAATAATGACAATTATTATGGATATAGAACTTCTTTTATTCTGTGGAGGCGACGTTTGGACATAGGTTCTAATGTTGTCAAGCAAGTGTCGTTGTCACTTGCTTGACAACGACATTAGAACCTATGTCGAAACGTGTCGCTGTCACTTGCTTGACAACGACATTAGAACCTATGTCGAAACGTCGCCTCCACAGAATAAAAGAAGTTGTATATCCATAATATATGTCATTATTCTTCATCAACTCAACTTTTAAAATGCCCATCAAAGAAGTTTGCATTGTTCATAAGATACTTCTTCTGTTTAAGAAATGACAACATACAAACATGTAAAATTAACTTTTTACTATTTGCATTATTTTTGTATTATTTTGCAATCATTAAAGAAACTTGATATGTTACAAAATGTCTTGTCCCTATTCTTATATGTAGGCTTTTAACCGTTTTGTTTTGTTTTCACCTTGGAATAGTGGCTATCTCGTGCCCAGCCAGAACCATCTGGCTACAATTAAGCATAGGCTGGGGGTCAAGGACTGGCCAATGCCTGGCAGTGGAATGGGTCGACTAAGGCTTAGTCTCTGAATATATATAATTTTGATAGTAACAAACAAGCCCATTTAAATTGAAAAGGAGCCCTAGATAGACCAGAGATTCAGAACCTGGGGAAATCTAGACTTGCTTCGTTTAGGGCTTTAGCACTGCAGAAAGGGCTTGGCAGTAGGGAAATTAATGTGGTTCAGGGACTGTGAGACAGACTATGGAATGGGGTACAGCAGTTCCAATAAAACCACCTTGATCACTTTCAGCCAACTTCTTACCCTGTTCCAAATACCAGTAGTACACACTAACAGCCTGATAGGCATTTTGCTTTTCTTTTCTAAATCCTATACAACATGTTTATTGAAAAAGAGACACCAAATTTAGGGAATTATTAATTAAGTTTGACTGAAATATGTTTGATATGAAAAAGAAATCTGACCTCTTACAGAGAAGTTGCAAAAAGAACCAAATAATGCTTTAATGATCCCTCTTTTAATTTCAATAACAAATATTTTCAAAAAGGCGCCCCATTAAACACTACAAACATAAGCAAATACTAACTCAAGTCCCTCAATTGCATGTTTGGCAAATCTAATTGGCAACTTCTGAAACAGTACAGCAAATAAATCCAGGCAAATAAATCGTCTGCTTGTGCATCAAATCAGACGACATCGGATCGATAACGCAAAGTTCACGACCTTTGACCCTGATCACGAGACCCGGGGGCGATGTTTGTCTGCGATCTGCTTTCATTGGAATTCACGGATATTTCAACATTCATACTTACGCAGACTTGGATATGCGATGTGAACTAACCTGACAAACAGTAATTACGCCGATGGCGACGACTGCAAGGATGGATATGCTTTCCATAATTCCCCTTTCTTGTCTGCCACGTCGGCCACTGGAGCTGTTCCCTTGAGTGTTAGTTTCGTACTCGGCTTCTGACTCCTTTGTCCCTCCCCAAAACGGAAGAGCGGCATCGAAACAACAGGAAATTCCAGTTGGCAGTTCGTGCACACGTGGAGGGGGTTTCACCGTTTCAGTTACAATTAGGTCATTGCTCTTAAACCGACTACTTTGACACGTAATATTGCACTCCAAAGCAGATGACACGATAATGAAACAGGGCAACGTTGTATTGATATTTTGTGTTTCTACTTTTCTCGTACACAACGTGTAAAGCGCTTAAAATTTACTCATAAAGTTGTTGTGGACGAAATAAGACGTTGTAGTGATGTTTATTTTTTAAAGGCATTAAGGGTATTGGTATTTTTTTTAATGAAAAGGATTTATTTTGGGTCTCTGAAAATTATATGCATGATGAATCACATGGCCATGAAATAACATGTGCGTGTTGAATTTTTTCCTCAGCGCTGAGTGTGCAGTTTTCTGTATCTAGCCTTTAGCCAATGTTTTGATTAAATAAAATGAAAACAATCTGTAAAGTGACATACCACTGTATTTTTCAATTTTAAAACCCTTTTAAATACAGCTACATAAAGACCACCACATGACAGTGCACTCGAACTAAACAAGTCTTTAAAAACATGCTTAAACTGCAGGTATGCTTATCTTTATTGTCCACTTAACACATATTTTATCTCCACATTATGAAAAATACCAAGGCCATTGATCTTATTCCACAAAGAGAAATACTGTAAGATAACAGGTGCATTATGTTTTTCCTGATAGAGATAAAATGCCCAAAATAATTGATAATGAGGTGGAGAGAGTTAAAAATAACCTTGTCATTTAATTAGTTCATTTTTCAAAGGACTTTCATATAGTGTGACAATATATACCTTGATGCAAGTTCTTTGTTACAAGACCCTGTGGTCTGGTTTAAAGTTCAGGTTGTGTAAAATTTTCACAAAACAATCTTCTATGCACTTATAATTAGGCCAGACCAATTTTATTTCTTGTTTTACGGATCCGCCGGTTGTATTTTTTTCAAGAATAAGAAAAAAATACTTTTCCTCGCTCAAAAAATAAAATCCTCCTGTTGTTTATTATTGGCCAAAAATGTAAACTTTCAAAAAAAAATTGGGGGATTGTTTTTTGCCCCATGTACACATCATAAATTGCCCCCAAAAATTCTTTTATTATTTAAAAGGAATATTACTTTGACTGGTGATTTATATATTTTATTTTTTTCTCTCCTGCCTTTAGGTTTTCTGAGGACAAAAATCGGTAAATTAAGAACTAAAATTCGTCTGGCCTTATTTATATTATTTGGAGTGAGTTAAGTTTTACACCTCTTTTAGCAATATTCCAGCAGTATCACAGCAGGGGACACCAGAAATGGGCTTCACATATTGTACCCATGTGGGGAATCGAACCCAGGGCTTCAGTGAGACGAGAGGATGCTTTAACCATTAGGCTACCCTACCACCCCATACTATTTGGAAAGTTAATACCAGTAGATTGAACATGTACACTTTCTGTACTCATTATCTTATTTTTGTCATCAAATGGGATTTTCAGGCCAAAAAGGATCGGCCTTAATTATTTGTTGTATTCAGTGATCAGATGAATTTTTAAACGCAAATAGAAGAGGTTCCATCTACATATCTTCAATAGTAGGACCTAATATAAACAGTTAATGGCTCACATCAGTCCAAAATGTATTGGTTCATGTAGATAAGAAACCCCACTGTGTTGCTAATAAACATCTTATAATAAATAGCTCGAATGAACATACAGGAAAGATCTTGGTTGAAAAAATGAGAGTTTGGTTTTACGCTGCTTTGAGCAATAGTCCAGCAATATCATGGCGGGGGACACCAGAAATGGGTTTCACACATTGTACCCATGTGGGTAATCGAACCCGGGTTGTCGGCATGAGTGAGTGAACGCTTAACCACTATGCTACCCTACCGCCCCGGTTGAAATAGTGAGGTGGGTGTATTCATCTTTGAACAGCATTCCAGTTATATCACAGCCTGTCCGCTTAATGTGGGAGAAAAGCCCAAAGCAATGCAGGACTCTCATGTTTACCACAAACCCACAAGCAAGGGTATTGTGTGATAAACCTAGAAATCTAATCTGGGCGAACCACATTGAACCCACACCAAAGGGTTTCTGTCACACCCAAGGGAGGCAACTAAGTACAGTTAAGTGTAGCACTTCAGACCACAGGGCCATTCCTATTGATTGAAATAAAAACAAACCACTGATATTCATTTACTTACACATTTATTTGAACACGGGCATAGGCAATGTTTGACAATTTCCATGTATGTACCAAGATGGATTCAAGCAAGCCACGGACATCGTACTAACCATGCTAACAACGGACAGTAAACATCCAGAACTCAACAAATAACCAATAACACATTCATAATCTACACTTACAAATGACAATGGCTTTACAACTCAAAACTGAGAGTGATAATCCGGCCATAATAAATACTGTTTCATCCGAACAACAGATAGCAGGAACGGAGGGAGCAAAGATGGAATTGTATTCTTTCAACAAATCAAAAACCAATACTAATAGCTCCAAACAAAACTCATAAAATACCCCCTAAAGATGTTTCTTTTACTAATCATTAAAAGCCATTCGTAACTCTTTTGTATTGCTCCAGCACGGAATCAGAGTCTAGTTACGAGGTTAGACCTATCATTCATAAAGCAAGCTCGGGAAGCTTAAAGCAAGACCACTGGTGAAACATCACAGCAAATATTCAAACGAGTTTCAACAGGTGTGTGTGGATGATTGGTAGTAATTTATTATGGCCTAGTAATGGAACAAATACTACGAGCTAGTCCGGGCTGATCAAAGCTATACTGGTACCAAGAGAAGGAGAAAGAGAGAGCAAGACTGACGGATGGACAGGCAGACAGACTGACTGACAGACAGACAATATGAAGACTGGAAGCATGTTTTCTGTATTGGCATCACATGTCTAAAATAGATCGAAAGTTATCTTTAATTTTAACTAGTTTGAATCGGTTACAAAAATGAATAAGAAGTCATAATAATATTTAAGTTCTCCACACCATAGATATAAAGTGTATTGCATCAGACTCCAGAACAAACTTTTCATCAAGGTTACCGTATAATTATTTACTTCAATTTGAAATGTTTATGCTTATTTCTATGTTGGAAGAATTGGCATAATTTCTACAGATACTGTGGATAAGGGCAATTCTTTCAACACATATTCTGATAAAGATATAGTTTGAAATTAAGAAAACAGTAACTCAGCCCTAAATGTGAATTTACGAACTGAGAACCTTGGAGCAATACTTTCGTTATGTTCACATATGTTCAGAATATCTGCCACAAAGTTCAATCCCAATAATGACCACATTTCTTGATGACTATCTGTGACACATCACCATATATTTACTTTGAGCAAGTCAATGTAAATTCGAAGTATATTTAAATATATACTGACACAGTGGAAATCGGGAAATAGTTTTCAGTGAACTGACTAAAAACACAGTAGAGAGGCCTGAAACATGTTTGTATCCTCATTCCTGTTGTCATATCTGATCATAAGCTTCAAGTCACTTGTAACTTATCAATGAGTGAGTTTAGTTTTATGCCGCTTTATTCCAGCAATTTCACGGCTGGGGGCACCAGAAATGGGCTTAACACTTTGTATCCATGTGGGGTATCGACCCCAGGTCTTCGGCGTGACAAGCAAACGCTTAAACCACTGGGCTACCCCCCACTGCCCTGTTACTTATCAAGATGCAAGATCCATAAGTGTTTTCAAAATGTTCCAGGATACCAAATTCTGCACAAACCAAATATGTTGATAATACTAAAAGTATTGACTTACCAAACCTGTGCAGTATTTATTGTGTCTATATAAAGCTTAAAGACAACAGAAGCAAGCAATAATCTCCCTTAGTCTCGTGGATGGTAGTTACTTTAGCAAACCCAACTTCAGATGTTGCAAAATAGGCATCTACAGTATAATGAGCAAAACATAGGCTTAGTATAACATAACTGTTCCTGAGAGTGAGTGAGTTGGGTTTAAGAGTGCTGTTAACAGTATTCTTGTCACATCATGGTGTCATCCCAAAGTGATGCAGGTCACAGACGTTAACCACTTTGGTGCAAACAGGGATTCGAACCATGAGCATAGGTTTATGGCCTGCTCAAGGTATACACCTCAGATGACTGGGACACCTGGGACACACTGCTCCTATGAACATCACACTCTGGAAATTCTGCAGTTTTTTTGAGTAGTGATATCCAGTTTACCGTTCTCAAAATCTGGACTTATCTGGATTGATCTTTTTGAAAATATTTATGAATGGCGAGTTACGGTATAGGCGTATGTTGTATCTGTGATGCTAGTACAGAGAACACAGTTGAAAGAGAGATGAAGGCGAACAGAACTGAGAGATGAAGTAGCCCAAAGAATGACAATCCTAGCACTTTCAAACAATACTGAAACAATGCAGTACTTGGCTGAGAACCTAGAACAGGTATAGGATTCTATACCGTAACACCTCATGACAAATAGGAATTAGTTTGAAATTTCGAAAATCTCAAATTGTAAGTTTGAATTCATACACTCACTATGAAAACAACAACCAATATTCTAAAAAAAATGTTTGATTCAGAATGCTGAGATAAAGCCTACACGTCCCCCCAAAATCCTACCCGTCAAAAATATCTGTATGACTTTTGTATAAGGACTGTAAGCTGTGCTCGGACACAGAGATACAATATCCAGAAAGACGAAGCTTCGAAGTGATTGTTGGGACTGCTTCCCGCAGTTCACTCATGACAAGTGAATCAATGTCCAACATCATAAAATACCTAATATTTTTCATATGTACAATTTTACACCACGTTGCTCACACTATAGGCAAAACATATGTACAACTTGAAATACACGTGGGTAAGTATATACTGCTTCGTCATTGGACACGAGCAATCCCATAGGAAACCATATCAGTAGGTCCCAATGAGACTTGGCAATACGATACATACCCCATGTTACATACCTATGTATACTTATGTATATATGTATATCTGAGTTCTAGCATGCTAGTCAGCGATGCTATTTCATAATGGCGATCAATGGGTGTCTATAACATGAGAGATATGTTGTGTGAGGTAATTCAAGTCCTATTTAGTCTCCTCTCATGGGTGGTACCATCCAGCTACGTTTCGCTGTGACGTTGTTACAGTGAGAGTTGATCATTGGTGTCAGTTGTAACAGCACAATCAGGTCATCAGATTATTTCGGTAATACTAGACAACAAGTTACACTGAACAAGACAGGTGCTGTCTCTGATGTTGTAAGATCTTTCAGCCATCCTTCAAGGAGTTCTTTACAGCCATAATATTGTGCAGGATAGCTTAATGGAAGTCTATTTTAAGATTGCTGAAATAGAACCAATTTGAAAATAGTTTATCCAAAAGAACCATGTGATGACTTGAAACATTTCAAAACACAGAAGTGAAATTCCTGTTTTCGTATAGCTACACAATATGCCCTTTCTCTGGGATGAAGGACCACATTCTTGACAAGCACAGAATATCAACACCAATCAGTTTAGGGGAAACTGATACAATCAGCATTTCTGTTTCACTGACCCAAGGGAATCTGATCCAATCAGCATTTCTGTTACACTGACCCAAGGGAAACTGATCCAATCAGCACCTTCGTTACATCCACCCAAGGCACTTTCCCCTTCTCAAATAGCACTAATCCTCTCCGAGCCCCATGTCCAGGAACGACTGGGCACAGATGCAGCACATCTACTGATTTCAGCAAGCTTCAACAGCGGCATATTGTGATGGCATATCTCAGAGCGATGCTATGGTTATCCTATCAGGCTTGATGCTTGTCAAATCATCGGAAAATGATTGCCGTTCCCTCCTTGTGGCCATCCTAGCAAAGCTGTAAAGATCTGTCACTCAGTGAAAATTCAGCACGACTTGCAGAGCCCAAATACTGACCAATCAGAATTCAGCAAGGTAGAATCTTCTGCTTAGAGCATTAAACCATTTCCTACGTCAACTGTGACTGTAGCAGAACATCGTTCCATGATGAAAACATGCGTTCCTTCACTTTGAGCTGAAGAGAGCAGTCTTCACTGCTGGTTAGCCTTTTCTTTCATGCAAGCAATTATGATTGCTCCCCACTGTGGATTCTACGTTGGTAGTAACTCAAATTCATCGTTTACATGCACCATGGGTACGTGCAAATCGTCTATAACAGGTGTTGTATTGTAATCACATAGTCCACACGCCTTCAAGCGCCATTCCCAGTCCATCTTCTGAACAGCAAACAAAGACTCCGCTTCGTGGTGGTGTCTCATTAACAGGAACTCCTGCAAATGTCCAGAATTTAAAGATCATAACAGAACTGCTATCAAAGCTAATGTGATATTACAAATATTAATGAAAACGTATTGAATAGTAAGCATTAATAGAAATAACAACTCTTCTTATGTCAAAGCAGATATTTCTGAGAATATATTTTTCTCATTGTTACAGTGTTAAAAGCCAGGCTTTCCATGCTGTTCACAACAGTTTCACAACAGATTTTGCATAATATTTCGAGTTTCATGCTTAACAGATAGTTACACCCAAAGTATGCTCAACATATAGCGTATATATAGGTGTGCACATGTAATGAAAATGTATTCATATATTCAAAGCATCGCGTGAATAAAACATGTTACAATGAGTGTATAATACAATCTATCAGTGCTGAAGTACTTGCGTTTTACAGATGAGAACTTGACCTCTTACCTTTATCTTGTCATACTTGTCCCCGACATCTTGAATCCAGGAAATAAACTGCCTGCCATTGTACCTGGACCTCACGTGCTTATCTTCGGCCTGAAATACAAGGGGCAAACACACTGATCATTGGGAGCAATTATCTAGGGCTTGATGTGGTAAGTGAGTGAATTGAGTTTTATGCCGTTTTTAAGCAATATTCTAGAAATATTATGGCGGTGATGTGATAAGCATCATCTTAAACTGAAATATTTAACAGCATGTATCGTGATGCTGCCCCTGCAAAGACTGAAATTCGACAATTTTTTTTACACACTATCAATCAATCAAAACTATTCCGTACAAAGGCCATCGGGCCCATATACATACAATTTCATACATTATAATACAATTTGCATATATGTGTACAGGTAATCTGAACATACGATACAGGTTAATATGGATAAAGTAGATAACGATATGATATGATAATACAAAAGTATAGTATGGTATTTAATACTATCATTCTTGTAATAGCTTACATCTTCGTTCATAAGAATGCATTATATATAGGCTGAGCATTTTCAAATTATGTACGTTCTTTGTCATAAGTAGTTTCTTAAAGTTATGCATATTCGTTTTGAAATCACTTGGTAAATATTTACGACGTAAGTCATCATATCTAGGACAAATGAAAGTAAAATGGTATTCGTATTTTTCAGGGTTTAATCAGCTTTTGAATTCTCTATACAAAACATAACGTGTGCTATTGTCAAGATCGGATCTCCAGTTTTGTTTTAAAACATCCACTAAACGCGTTTTAAAGATTCTGATAAAACTTACACTAACCAATGTACAAACAGTTTGTGCATCTCAATCCCTCCACCAGGGTCTGTCAGTGCATTTTAATCATTTCCACATTTAGGACATTTACAAGGACCCATTAAGACAATGCATCATTTCAAACTGTGTTCAGCATGCTAAGAAATACAGATTCTTAGGTATCCTTCCTTCTCCAGACCACCCCCAATTGGTGTTCTGAACAATGCTCTGTTCGTTTAATGTTGGTTATCAGTAGTGGTGTCACGATACACCAATCTCACGATACGATACGTATCACGATTTTAAGGTCACGATACGATACGTATCGCGATACATAACTTTCGCGCCTTTTCATAGCATTACCTTACCGGCAACGTACGCGCTCGCTGATTGGTCCATCAAAATAGTCTAGCCAATCACAAAAGCTGTTAGTTTCCAACCTATTTTTTAAGTAAAGCTAGCTACATCTATTTATCGGAGCGGTCTCGTATAATTTTACTATCAAGACTTTGAAGGAGATGGATATAGCATAAAAATTTGAATCGATAAAGTTTTAAAATAGGAATCGATACACGCAAGCATGTATTGCGTATCGTATCGTCAGTAAAAATGTATCGATGCATCGATAAATTCGCGTATAGCGACACCCCTAGTTATCAGTATATCATACCACTATGGGATAACTCATGTGACTATTAACCTTCTAGCGCCTCACAGGCAGCTTGGGTTATCTGGGGTAACAATAATCAGATTGTGATTTCAGCGCCATTGAGCATGGTATGGTGGAAATAAGGCGCTATACAAATCCATTATGATTATTGTTATCATTATTATTACACCAACCTGTTCCAACTCCTGCATGTTGTAGATTTCTTCATCCTTGAGAATGGTACACACTGAGAGAGGCAGACTCTGATTGGCTAATGCCCTGGCTGCCCTCCCATGCTCCCTCAGAATCTCCTGCTCTATAGACAGCATCAGCTTTTCCTGGATAAACAAGACATTCAATTATTCAGTGACAATTCTAATATCAGTGAGGTCCCTATAGCTACCAAAATGTGAGACTAATGAATATTGACATCGGCTGTATCACTGACCCAAATTTATCTCGAGGTATCAATAATTGCACTATGATAATCTTAGCTGTATTTTCACTTTATGCAAGCCCCAGAATTGTTGCTGTAAGTATTCGTACCTTCAATTCCTTTATACAATATCTGTTGAAATATTCAAGATTATTTCACTTATATCATGAAGTGCATTCTCATACACCAGTCCTCAGTGATGCCCATTTAATAGTGCAAGCCTTTGAATCAGAGTTGAACATCAGAGGCGAGGTGCAATTGGGTTTAACATCGTGCTTGAGAATATTTCGATCATATGACAACATGCATGCGTGTGTATGTGCAGCTGCTTGTACTAGCCCAGACTGAAGCTGGTTTTATAGTGCTAACCCACTGAGATACCATGCTGCAGTGAAGCATGAATACCCCACTCAGTCACATTATACCGACTCCGAGCCGACCAGTCCTTGTACCCATTAATGCCGAGCGCAGGGCAGGGACCAACAAGTACCATATTTTAACGTCTTTTGGTTTGATGCGGTCGGGGGATTGAACCCGTGACCTTCTGCTCTCCGGGCGGACGCTCTAACCACTACACTACGGAGGCGGTTAATTTGAACATCAGAACCCCACTTGGACGCATAATACTGACTTGCAATAAAAAACAGTACATGTCTCACAACCCAGAGCCAGGCAGGGAAACAACAAGTACCATCTCCTTCAACATAATGCAGCCAAGTCATTGAACCATAGACCTACATTTTCAGGCCTATGTTATAGCACTATAATTTATAAGTTCATATACTTCAATCTCAATATTGATAGTAAGACTGGCCAGCCCAGTGAGTAGGCTGCCTCTAGCAGGCTACTGACCCTCTCGATGAGGTGCTGCAGTCGGAGGTTGTACCGAGCCTTCTCCTGCTCCTGGAACAGTTCCCGCATGGGTCCCTCCACAGACTGAGGGGGAGACAACTGCAACACAAACACAGGAATATAATCAGCTGACTGCATACAAAACTACTATCACTTAACAAGGGGAGGCAACATCAAAGAAATAATTTAGTCAGCCCCTAACGTAAACATAATAGTACTCATCTGGAGCAGATAACTCGGACTCAAACAAAGCACTTAGCTGCTTTGTAAACAATGTCATTACTTCAATCATCTCATTTGTTTGTGCCCTGTTTAGTGCCTCACTCAGCAACATTCCAGCTAAAGGGCGGTGTTCTGTAAGTAAAGTCTGGACAATAGAGTGAGTAACATCAAGAGCATCCATCTACTGGGATACGATGGCATGTGTCAACCAAGTCAGCGAGCCTGAAAACCCGATCCCCTTAGTCGCCTCTTCCGACAAGCATAGGTTGTTACAGACCAACTCTGACCCGCATCTTCACGAGTACTACCACTAAACAAGATGTTTTGTTCAGCATTACATGTTATTGTGATAAAGTGTGATACATAATCAAAATTTTGATTCGGTTGCATTGAGATTCCTGGAAATCTAAAAATGTAATTTTTAGAGTAAAATTGATATTTTATACTTATCCTGACTCATGCTCTTTTGCTTGTCTTCTTCTTCTTGCGAACATAGTGGAACACTTGTATCTCCTTATTTGAAGCTCCCTTCAAAATAAAATCACTAATTGGTACTCACCACGAGTTGCTCCCCTTTGTCTCCCCTGGCGGGAAAAGGTGTCGCCACCCTCTGGCCATGTGCTCCACTCTCTCCTGATTTAGCGAGCCCAACACTTGAATTTACAGGGAAATCCAAAGTGTTATGTGGGGAGGATGGGAGGGCTAACCTCATGAGTCAGGATAAGTATAAAATATCAATTTTACTCTAAAAATTACATATTTTTCCTTATCCTGACTCATGCTCTTTTGCTTGTAGCATCCTACGGAACGGAGGTGGGTAACAGAATACTTTGGATTTATAATTAGTGATTTTGTATAGATATACTGTAATATCCCCTACGGGAACTTCATGAAGCCTTAGATTTAGGATGTTTCCTGTATAAAGAAAACCATAGGTTATATAAAGCCATTAAAGGGGAATTACATTATGAATATATTGAACAATACATATAAATTATATATATATATATATAGGTGACTCTGATAGAGGCACTGAAATTGACTATATCCAAGTATATGCTTAAGGTAGAATACTTAAGCTGAACATATATACATAGCCCTAAAACTCCTTAGAGTTATAAGCTAGATGAGTATGTATAAAATACATATTAATCTTGTGAGGCTAATATTTTAACGCTTCACGAGGGACTGTCAGTTGCTGAGCGAGGACCAGTGGTCGAAATGGTGAATGCCAGAGACATCTTCTGTAGTGATGTCTCTTAGGTAGTGATTAGCAAATACCATGTTAGATTTCCAATAGCATCCTTCCATAATCGTGTTCAAGGAACAGTTACCGTGTAGGGCGAGGGTAGAGGCCAGTGCCCTGATCTCATGTGGATTTGATGCTGTTGGTGGGTCCAAGCCTGCTGCCTTGTAGGCAACGGAGAATGACAGTCCTTATCCAAATAGATATTGTGGTCCGTGACACTTCTGTTTGATTCGTAGGCTGATAATGGGATGAATAAGCGTTTGAGAAATCTTCTCCTTGTTTTGGATCGTAAGTAAATAAACTTTTTGGCTCTTACCGGACACAGTGATAGGTCTTGTGTATCTTGTGATCCGAGAATAGAGGATAGCGCCCGGATGTGGAATAATCTGTCTGGTTGACCTGGCAGTTGATTCTTTGCAATGAAATCCCATCTTAATCCGAGGTGCGCTGTGTTATGATTGTCATCAAACTGTATCCTCTCGTAATCCAGAGCGTGAATTTCAGACATTCTTGCTGCTGTGGCTAGCGATATAGCAGAAACAATGTTTTCTGTGAGAGAAATTCAAAGTTTAATCGATTCAAGGGTTCATAGACCTCACTTTCGTGAGGTGTTGTAACACTACATTCAGATCCCAAGCTGGGAAGTGGAACTTCCGCTTTGGTCCTCCAATCGGAAGCTCGTGAAGTAAGGCCAGTAACTCTGGAGATCTTGTCAATTTGACACCCGTTCTCATGGTGATTACAGAGCTAAAAGCCGCAAGATATGTTGATATCGTTGAACCTTTTAAATGTTTGTTTTGGCGAGGTAACACAAATAGTCTGCCACTTGAGGTTGTGAAGCCTCTCTTGCTGTAAACCCTTTCTTTGTTGCATAATTTTGAAACTGTGCCACTTGTCGTCGTACAAGTTACTGAGTTGAGTAACGTAAAGGCAAGCGTGACTGCTTTTGCCGCCCTGGCAGAATATCCTCTCTTGTTTAAACACATTTGTATACAGTCCATACGTGTAGTTGGAACATTGCTGGGTTTCCGTGCACTTGTTTGGTGTGAGGATGAATTAACAGGTTTGGCGCTTGGGTAGCTCCAGTGTTGGTTGACCGATTTCTTGAATTAGTATGGGAAACCACGCTCTGGCCGGCCAGTAGAGGCTGACCAAAGTGAGTTGTAGGCTCTGTGTTTGTCTGATTTTCTGTAATACTTGAGGTATTATTGCTGGCGGCGAAAGCTTGGCGACGCATTGAGGCCTTCCCATGATAGACTTAAGCGTCCGTTGCCCAAGCTTGGGGATCTGGGACTGGTGACACTTAATGTCGGTAGCTGATTGTTGAATCGGCGTGGCGATAATAGGTCTATTAGCGGCTCCTAATTGCTTGATTATCTGTGCAAAATTTCCCGGTTGATCATCCACTCTGTCGGTGATGGTAGATGAGGCCGAGAGAGAGCGTCTGCTAGTATATTTCTGGCTCGGGAATGTGCACTGCTCTGACATGTAGATTTAGATCTTGTATTAAATCGAACAGTTGAAAGCTTAGGTTCAAAAGGTTCATCGATCTCGTTGAGCCTTGCTTGTTTATGTAGAACGCCACTGTCGAATTGTCTGTATGGATCATTAGGCGCATTTTGTAGAAATGTGCTCCAATGTAGAATGGCGTTGATTACAGCTTTCATTTCTAGACTGTTTATATGGAGTTTGCATTCTTGCTGATTCCATAACCCTGATATCGTGTGGTTGGTGAGATGAGCTCCCCAACCTTGGAGTGACGCGATCTACATACAGATGGGTTTTGTATTCCTGCTCTGCTAAACAAATCCCTTCGCAGACATTCGATTTCTTGGTCCACCATAGTAGATGTGGTCTGAGATGTTTTGGTAGACTGAATGGTTGTACATCGCTTGAGATGTGCGTTGATGAGGACCTGTAGGGGACGTAACTGTAATCTGCCTGTGACAGTCATGTCTTGGGCTGATGTGAGAAGACCTAGTAGGCTCTGCCATTGTCGCGAAAGTGGTAACGGAGAGAGTAGAGCTGGTGGAATGGTCTGTTGTATCTTGAGCCAACGGTCTTCTGGTACCATAATACGGTTGCGATTTGTGATGAATCGAATACCTAGGAACTGTAGGTCTTGGCGATGGTACTAGGTCCGACTTAGCGTAAGTTTACTAACCAACCTAGTTGTGTTAGTAGCTTTATGATGTAATTTAACTGTAGTTTGAGACGCAGTGGATCTTGATCTACTTGTATCCCGTCGTCGAGGTAAAACGCGCCGCGTAGCCCTTGTGACGATGTAGAAATTTGATGTCGGTTTTCGTTATCCTCGTGAATAGCCAGGGGCTGATGATATTCGAATGGGGAGTACTTTCCACTGGTAATGTAGCCCTTCTAGAGTAAATCGTAGGTATTTCCTGGAATCGGGATGAATGGGGATGTGCAAGTAGGCATCCTGTAGATCTATGCTGCCCATGTAGTCCATAGGGACGAATCATCTGGCGTAACTGAGGTAAATGTATCATGCGAAACTTCGGTGGTTTGCGTAGATAGTTCTTGTTGAAAAAGCTCATGTTGTAGATGAGTCTGTATTTCTCCGTGGAGTTTTTCTTGGGAACTAGGAAAACTGGGGAGTAGAAACCTGGTTCGACATTTGCTTGATCTATTACTTCTATGGCCTGTTTGGATAGGAGTGATGAGACAGCCTCTTTTATCTTTGGTAGTTGTTGCTTTGTAAATCGAACTTGGGGGTTTGATTGTCAGCGGAGGCTTGTCCTGTAGAGGGATATCTAAATCCGTGTTGAATAATGTTGGAGGCGTAAGGATCTTGCAGTATTCCCCCAGTTTTCCCAGTGTAGTTGGAGGCGTCCACCCACTTGAGCTGGTTGTACTGGAACGGCTGGGGGTGGAAGACTCCAGTCGTTCCGAACCTGTGTTTCAGCGTCTATAATTCGCGGGAACCTCTGGGTGTCCTGCCTCTTCCTGATCCCCTCTATAGTTGCCATATGGGCTTAACGAAAAGAATCTTTACCTCTAGAGCTGGCTATCTTCCTGTCTCTTGCTCTTTGTAGGCCCGTGAACTTAGATCTGCCTGAGTATCTTTGTGAAGTCTGACGAATGACGCTGGCTAGTGTGTCCATCGATCTAATCATAAGGACTTCCCTGGAATCCTTAGAGACTTCCTTGGCGACCTTGTCGATTTCTCCGTCAAAGATGGATGTTTGTCGACCACGGGGCTGTATAAAGTGGGGCTGTAAAGTTCTCCCCAATTACAGGAGGCGAGGAGGCCTTGACGACGAGCTAAGGTCAGTGCTGCTGAAACAGATGTAAGATGATCCGTTAAAACTGCTGATCTTTCTTTTGCATAAGTAAGGCAGAATAAATCATTCTATCATCTTCCGTCGTGGAATCCCGAATCTAGTAATAAGAGTCTCATTGATCGTCCCTAGATCTATTTAACCCAAAGAACATACGTCTCGTCATGGTTTCTATATGAGCCAACTTGCGATCATCCATCTTGTAAATCTTGTTCTTTACATCGCTGATGATCTTATAGTTCTCATCGATGTCCTGGGGCCTTGTAGAAGGAGTCCATGTTATCGCGTGGAGAACTTCTTGGCTTGAAAGTTGGGTAGATGTGGTATCTGAACTTTAGTAGCTTTCTGGAAAGCTGCATCTAGATTCTGTGGCACTGCAATCGGTCGATCGGGGTAGAGTGATTGCATCTGGATCATCTTCCTTCATCAAATACGTCTGAGCTGTATTGCCACTTTTAGATGGTGATGTGAGATCTAGGTTATTGACCATCCAATACCGTGATTCTGCATCAGAAAATATGATTCCTCCATCATCCTCAAAACCATCATCATTAATAAATTGTAGATGCTCTTGGGACTGCGTGTAGCTGTCTGTATATCTGATGAGGTTTGTGGCGATCTAGTTGACTTGGCGCCGCTCTATGTGGAGATCTGATGGGTGATCGACCTGGTGATGAACGGAGTGGAGATCGCCTATGGGATGATCTTCGGAGACTTGTGAGGTGAATGTTGATAGCTTCGCGAAGCTCTTCGGCAGTCCCTCGATGTTCTTCTAGGACGATGAAGATCTGGAATCATATGTCCTTCGCGAATGCCTCGCGAAGCTTCATTTAAGCGTCGGTCCGGGGATCGATGATATGACCTTCGCGAAGGCTTCCGTGATGTCTGATGGTCTGAGTCCATATCTAGAGATGAAATCGAAGATGGTGATGATCTCCCCGCCGCGAAGGCCTTAGCGAAGAGCTGTACATCTAGGTCGCCGTCCAAGGTGGTGCGGGACTTCCTTGGCGAAGGTGACATCGCCTTGGCTGCTACGCTGACGGGGGTGCCTCTGGGGTGCTGTCTCACGTTGGAGCCTTCGAAGGCGTTCGGACCCTGCTTGCGCAGTTTGTAGTGGTCCTCCATGATGTTCATAATCTGCCGCATCATGTCTTCTGGGATGATCTGTGGCGAAGTCGTCGGCGTCTTTTCTCGCGATGGGGTTCACATCAATGACGCCTGGACGTCGGTGTAGAGGCATCAGGCTGCATGGAGATCTCTGCAGAAGTCACAGTCGCTGACACCGGTCGCTTCTTCTGCCGTAAGTCGGGGATGATTATCGGCTGATCATCGTAGAGGCCCAACTCTGCTGCTGGAACGATCTCGGCTGAGAAAGTTCTTGCTGTCTTCGTAGATTTCCCTTTGGAAGTCTGCGCTGCCCTGGGTGTCCTCAATCTGCGTTGAGACGCACGATGAGAGCCCTCTTAGACTTAGTCTGCAATGACGGGATGTCTGGGGAGGCCGGTCGTTTCTTCGAGGTAACGGACTGCGTCCCACGTTCCTCTGCCGCAGGGGTCTCTAGCAGAACACCAGACGGGAGAGGGTCGATCGCTAGCAGCTGACTGGAAGGAATATCTGGACTCTCTGCCATGTTTTGCCCTTGTTTGCGTGATCTATCTGCAGCACGTCTTTAAGGCATAAAGATGATATTTATTAAATGCAGAATGAGATAAATTAATGCAGTAACTGCAACGTGAATTAAACGCACACGCGTAGAACAACTAGGGCATATTACATGTGGATCGGAGGCAGAAAAGCGTAATCTACAAATCGTACAGATTTTCATGAGCGTAAAGCTAGCTGAACAATCACGCGAATACACGCGTGAATAAACAGTAGAAATCACGATAATTAATCAATACAAATAGTAAAGGATACTAGCTATACCTCTATAGTAACCTATGAGAGGTAAAAACTAAGAGATTATCAAAGGATATGTGTGTAAGGAGACACAAGGCGCTCTCACATCCTGCTCACTGGGCGAAGAAGGAGAGAGTGGAGCACATGGCCAGAGGGTGGCGACACCTTTTCCCGCCAGGGGAGACAAAGGGGAGCAACTCGTGGTGAGTACCAATTAGTGATTTTATTTTGAAGGGAGCTTCAAATAAGGAGATACAAGTGTTCCACTATGTTCGCAAGAAGAAGAAGACAAGCAAAAGAGCATGAGTCAGGATAAGGAAAAATTATGTTCATTTTTGGTCTTTAAGCACCTAACCCTAACCCTGAGGTTCCATTTCAGAAAAGTGAGTGAGTGAGTTTAGTTTTACGTCGCTTTTAGCAATATTCCAGCAATATCACAGCAGGAGACACCAGAAATGGGCTTCACACATAGCACCCATGTGGAATCGAATCCAGGTTTTCGGCGGGACAAGCCATTTCAGGAAAGGTTCACACACAGTGCCTTTTGCTGGGAATAAAAGTAACTAACATTTTGAACTGATGGTCAAGCTCGGTGACTCTTCAACGACATGGGACATCTTATCAAACATGCTCATACAATTTAACATTGGTTTACCTTGCCTAGATTACATATTTCACTAGCTGCCATGACAAGTAAAACACTGCATATTAATTAACCAAAACAAACTGATAAGAAGTAAGAGGTACCTTGAAACTATACTGATCTGGGCCCCGTTTCACAAAGCTCTCCTAAGCCTAAGATCTGGTAACTTTTCTCATAGCAATCGTACCTCCTGCACTGCAACATTGACTTACGATAGTCGTAGCGCTACGAGAGCTTCGTGAAACGGGGCCCTGGAATCCACATTATGTAACCTATTACAGGAAGAAGGAGCGAGTGACTTGGGTTTGAATAATCCTCATCATTTGAGAAGTAGACCTACCATTGGCACAGAGAGAGTACTGGTAGCATTGCCTTGTAGGACATAGGTACAGTTGACCATGAGGTAGTCCTTGAAGCCACTGGGAGCCTTTGGATGTACTGCACTTAGTGACTGCTGCTTGCTGGCAATCTGTGAAGGAAGGTGGATGGTTAGCTCAATCACAGAATAATACATCAGGAAGAAACATTCAGTAGAATCTGCAATGAATGTGTGTGGTTTTACGCCACTTTTAGCAATATTCCATCATTATCCCGGAGGGGACATCAGAAAAGGGCTTCACACATTGTACCCATGTGGGGAATCGAACATGGGTCTTCGGGGTGACAAGCGAACGCTTTAACCACTAGGCTACTGCCCTGTTTGCAATGAAGGTGGTTACAGAGCTCCTGTGGTTTATTGCTGTAGCATATAAATCTAAGGACCCCCTCAATTTAAAAATTTTAAAATCAGGGTTATGATTTTCATTAGTGTTCAAAATTAGGCATGAAAATCACCAAGTCCTAATGAATGTTCCAAAGTCAAAAGTAAATCATTTTAACTTTGGTTAAACTATAATACGAGCAAACCTCCAAGACCTAAGAGCCAGCTTATTTTCAGACACTTACATCTAAATACTGCTGTGATGCTTAATTTCCATCTCTGCTTTGATGCTAAATTTTGAACACTGCTTTCATGTCTAATTTCAAATACCATTCAGGTACACCACATCAAGTTCCTGGAACCATACATGTAGCAAATTATAGTTTGACACAAGCAGAGTGTTGATGTACCACAGCTGAGACAAAGGTACTGCTCTACCCACTAAGTAACATTTTCCTACATGATATATCAAGTAAAGAATTTGTTTAAGAGTACTTCACAATCTATTTTGGACTAGTTGTTTATACATATATTACTCTAACCTTTCACTAGATTATGACCAGGGGCTCCGTGGACCCAGGTTTCATTAGTGCATTTAAAAATTTGATTCAAATGACAATTCTTGAAATTGGTAAGATCTGCACTAAATTCTAGAAATTTATCTTACATAAAAACATTTAAGCACACCATCACTAACATTTGAGCTTAAATTGTCTACATTTACATTAAAAAATAATATACTGTTTGAAATCCACATAAGAGTCTGGGTACATGTGTACTGGAGACCTCTACTGCATGACAGAACACTTCAGCACTGGCGTCACAGTGAGTCAGTGAGTCTGGTAAGTTTTACGTTGCTTTTAGCAATATTCCAACAATATCACTGCGGAGGACACCAGAAATGGGCCTCACACATTGTACCCAGGTGGGGAATCGAACCCAGGTCTTCTGTGTGACGAGCGAATGCTTTAACCACTAGGCTACCCCAGTGGCATCACAACATTTACAAATACTGCAGCGGTGACCTTACCTGTTTCCTGATGTTCAAGTACAGCTCAAATGGGTTTGGTGGTTTCTCGTAGGATGTTGCTGGTGGTGGGATAGGGATGGGCGCAGACAGTTGAGCTTCACCTAGTTGTTGAGTGTCTGGCTTTGGCCGTAATTTCCGTTTACGAGGATGTATATTCATATAGTCTATTTCCTCGCCTCTTTGTGACCGGATAGAGCTGCCATTGTCGTGTTGAGAATTGTTAGTGGGAACAGGTTCTGGGCCGCCTGCAACAGCAACATCATCATCTATGATCTAATCACAGCTTAATTCCACCTGTTTATCCTGATATCCAACTTCACACCAGTCGGCTTTGACTGGCTGTGAAATGTTAAAACACCAGGTACCTGTCTCTATTACAATCGGACGACCCACATCTGTCAGTGTGGCAATTTGCTGTTCAAGCAGTAGGTGCATGTCAAAAACTAGTGTTCAGCTTTGGTTAACATTTTAAAAGAACATGTGATAAAAGAAAGACCCCACCCTACACACCACTCCCTCAACTGACTGACTGAGTATGGATTTACACTGCATTTAGTAATATTCCAGCAATATCATGGTGGGGACACCAGAAATGGGCTTCACACATTGTACCCAGGTGGGGACTTGAACCCGGGTCTTCAGAGTGATGAGCGAATGCTTTAACCATTAGGCTAAACCCACCCCTCCCACCCCACAAACCCCCAACAAAAACAAACTAATCCTGAATAAGAGTACACCAATTTAGCACATCCGTTCTTAAATTAATAATTCATTCACCACTTTTGGTTCTAACTTTCTCTGTAAGTATATTGTGAGAATGAAAATAAAAATTGTCATCATTCTTCATCAACTCAACTTCTAAATGCCCATCAAAGAAGATATTGTGAGAATGTTAAAGATCACAATTGAGCTTCTATTACAGGTTGATCTAAATATTTGAATAACATTGAAAGTATGAAGATTTAAAAAACCCAACATCCAATTGTGACTCGTTCACTGCATCATCACATGAAAAGATGAAGTAAGATTGGAGTATGAACCAAAAGGCATGTACATAAACACACAACAGTAAAATATATAATTCAAGAATTCTTCATCAATATTCACATAGAAAAGGTGTACAACTAACAACAATATAAACCTTACCATTCATAGTTGAAAATTACGTCTGCTCTTGAAGCCAGAAGCAGACATGACTCTAATCCAATTAGTCCACAGTTCATTTTGGACTAACGATTATGAAACATAACCAGATTTGCAGACAAATCAGCAAGTTATATCAGATTTGCACAACTTAAGAAACCAGCACAGAAGTTGCTGTGTCTAACCTTGGCAACAGAACACCATCAAATGTTTATGAACATGGCAATGATTTTAATAAAAGCTAAAGAAATGGCGCAACATCTACTAAAACCTGTCTCTGTGATGATATGAAGGAGGCAGACTGTCTTGAGTAGCCGTGGTATAGCTGGCTACAGTGTAATGATGCCATCCCTTATGCACTAATGAGAAGTCTTCATAAGAAGGGTCGACAATATGTGACAGCAGTGTTTTGAATCACTAAGTTCTAGTTCAACATGGCCAGTGTTGGGAATTGGTTGAAATTTCAAGATTGATCATGATCATCAATACAAAGCTGATTCTATACATCAGAGATACCAACCCCAAAGTGTTGCAAAAAGTATTTCAAGGATCAAAATTAGTAGTTTGACCATAAAATTAGTAGTCAACTATATACTTAAAATCATGATGGATTCTGAGAATGATAATATGACACTAATCAAGAGTGAAGCTTTCAAGAGTGAATTTCACATACTTCCAACAGCAGACTTCCAAATTGTCAGTATTACATATCTTCTTGTTGCCTCTTTTGGGGAAAAATGTATTTAATCAATATATACAAGTGTATATCTTTGTCTATATATCCGAATTTTAATGAATTTTCTTCAAATTTCGAAGAATTTCTAGTGCAATCGTATACTACTGGCTTAGCTGGAGGCTAAAATTTGTAGTGACTTGGATAAAATCGTAGAGGTTGGCATCTCTGCATACATGTATAAAAAGGTTTTCAATTCTGTAACCAGTAATGGAGTCAAGTATATATAGACCTAGTTCTTATTGTGTCGTAAGCTTCATTCATACCAGTTGAATATTTTAGAGTGTTGCCTAATATAGACCAACCCTGGAGGAAATATGGTATCCACATATTAAGGTTTACACTTTAAATATAGGCAGAGTAGTCATCAAGAAGGTGGGAAATTTGGGTCACAACAACACGGATATTTCAGGAAGAAACCCATCAATAGTTTACAAACATATTTTGCACATTAGAATAAAAAATGGCCCATTAAAATTTTAAAGTTTACTATTGACACAAGGGCATTGGCCCATTCTAAATTCAGGAAATGGCTAATAATCCTGAAAATGGCCCATTGTCAAAGTTCTCTATCCCAAACCCTGTACTTTCATACTGATGTCCATGCATTATGAGGGTATATTCTGATCACTCGAAAGAGCCACAAGATCGACGAATCTACTGAAAACAGCTCAGAATCACAAACGGTTCTTTAACGGTAGCATGGACTTAAAGCCAATATGATTAACAATACCAGAACCTTGGAGGTAATTGATGACTATCAGATATCCCGTTGAAATATGAAAATAGGTCACCTTGACCTACTTTCATAATCAGTCATTAAACAACAATTAGTCTTTGAACATCAAACTATTTCTCACCAATGCCATCCAATACTTACTTCACATAAATCTCCCTTTCTCCTTCATCTCTTAATGTATAAGGTCACTGTGACCTAACCTAGTTATAACAGTAGCCTACTTGAGCTCATTCAGATGTGAGGAGATATCAAAACTACTGAACCTGCTGTTATATTATATGAGGCAGCAGCATCAACCACATCCTCATCCTCATCACCACCATCATCATGCCCCCAAACCAGCATCATCATCATAATTAGTGTCACCATCATCATCATTAGTATCACCACCATCATCATCATCATCTCCCCCAGCACACACATATAGCTTCATGTATATACACTGTGACTTGAAATAGGACAGAAGCTCACAATAACCTGCACAGACCTGAGCATGGTGAGTGTAAGCTCAAGAAGAGAATTCCATCCCAATGAGTATGCACACATGACTGTCAGTAGTTACTTCTTTATGCACACTGTTCACACTCACATTGTAACAGATACAGATATCTGGTTCATACGAAATGGTAAAATAATCCCCAAAGTCTAATGTACGTTTTTGAGGTGTCACACATTTTATGCAGTACCTAGTCCTGTTACATAAATGGATTTCATCAACATTGTTGATTCTGTTTCTGACAAAATGAATCAATTATGAAATCTGTGATTAACTTCTTATTTCCAGTAACTGAGGTCTATTTAATAGAGCTGTGTATGATAATCAACTTACAAAGCATCACAAGTCTGAAAACAGAGATGGATTCAAGAACTGAGGATTTTCCTGGTAGACATGACATATGCATTTACATTTTATAACATAACGTATTGTTTCTCAGATAAAGGTTGCCAAGGATACTGAGGAAAAGATTTGAGATTTTTCAGTTGTCACTCAAAATTCATTATTCATGGATTATCAGTTCCCTTTTTCAACTGTTACCCAAGGATCCATCTTGAGTTTTTAATGCTGTGCAGTGGAACTACCAGTCTATTAGTGTATGTAATCCCTGATGATGTTGCTCCAGATTATACCATAAATTAGTCATTATGTTTTTGTCCTCATTATGCCAGATATGCTGGCATTTTCAAATATCATTTTAACAGTTTTGTTTTAATTTTACATCGTACTCAGTTATGTTGATGACAATTAAACAATATAAACATATAAAACTAACAAATAGGTTAGTCAAAGTCTACAGGAGGGCAATGACAAACAATATCTTTATTCTGGAAATGGACCCATAGACAATTTCAACCATCTGATGTCTAAAATCACATAGCAATAGCAACATTCTCTTGAGGGTTTGACAGTACTGGTATAAAAAGTTATCATTCCCGGCAATTCTATATTGATGACACTGATTCTCATAGATTAGTTTTCCTCACTCTGGAGTGATGTTACACAAGCACAAGCCCGCTTTTCTGAGTCAGGCACTGATGAAGATCCCTTGTACATTAACTATTACTATAACTATCACTATTGGCTTAAGTTTTTTTGTTTTTTTTGTTTTGTTTTTCTTATTCCAACAAATCTGGTTACAAGCATGGCTGTATTCAGAGACAATGGCTACAAATGAGTAGTGTATAAGCAATAGTTCTCAGACACAGATAAACAAACAATGACGGTATTCTCATACAAATAGTTTTGACACTATTACAAATAGGGTTAAATTGAGATTGCAAAACAAATCACTGTCAAAGTATATGAATAATATTACAAGGTTATGACAAAAATGTTAAAAGCAAATGACACAGAAATCATGGAATGTAAAGGAGATAAAAAAAAAGGGACTAAATTGTTAATAACTATACTGCCAGAGCATATAGACGAAAAGCATAATATATAAATAATCAAACCGAGATATAATGTTTTTGGAAAACATGAAGTCAAGTGACTTCTTCATAAATACCTGACAGAGGAAGCCATTTTTTTCCAAACGCAGCCCCTTTATTATTCTTGCGGCAATGAATTGTAATTGATGCTAATCTAAAACCGTGCCGCCAATATCATAAGTATTCTTCAGTTTTGCAAAAGTCATTAAACCACTTTGTCTTTTACACTTTACAAAATAAATTCCTTTAATGTGCTAATGTTTAATCAAAAATATTTTATGTGTAAAATGATGATTGAGCCATAGGGGTTGGGACAGAATGTCATTAATATTAAGGGAAATTTCTTTTTCTTTTCTTACATAGTTTGTCCAAGCCTTCAAGACACTTTGCCAGTAAGGGTTCTTACAGTGAATATAAGTATCAACATTGGCACCTGAATATTTCACCTATAGGAAAGTAACTTGGGTTCTTGAAATTAGGACTTTGAATACATCTATTGGCTTAAGTTTGTTTGTTGTTTAAACCTGCAATCAGCAATATTCTAGTACTAGTAGTAGTTTGAAATGTGCAAAGAATCAAGGGCCAGAAACACGTATGAATCGAGATTATGCATGTCATGAGGAACATGTATGAATCAAGACGATGTACAGTGGAGCCCCGTTAGTCCGGACCCCAATAATCTGGATGTCTCGCCTCCCGGA